CTCTCCTCTCAACACAAGAGTCCAGTTCCTTCACACTCACACTTGGCGCTCAGCGCCCAGCCTACTCCTACACAGCTACTACAGACTACGAAATGGCAATGCAACTGTTGACATCAGCGGCAGCCCGAAGTACTTGAAGATGTCGCCCATGTAGACCATCGCCAATACAAGGTAAGTGCCCTCACATCATCATCATCATCATCCTTCACCTATCCCYTGACTACACCCACGTCTGTCCTCTGTTTCACCCGAAGACCATCCCTGCGCCTCACTGTAGTCCAAACCCACCAGCTATGGTGGCTGGGCTATGGCGCTGCCCTCAGCAGCGCCCTTGTTCCATGCACGACCGCACGTGCTGCACCTCGCCTCTCAGCGCCAGCCAGCAGCAGCGAGCCATTGCTCCAGTAGCGCTGCCACTAGCATGCGAGTGCCTGAATGAGGCTGCCTGGCCAGAGCTCTTTCCTTTATGGAAAAGAACTAGCCTGCTTGCGCAGCCTGGCTCGGCTGGCCTGGGCCCAGAAGCTTCCGGAAGGCCCCAGGAGGCTGCCTGGATGCAGCAGCTACTGGGCTGTTGGGCCTAGTTCGGTTGGGCGCCCAACTGTCTCTGTATGAGGCTGCGAATCACGCCAGGGCCTGCATTCTTTGGAAAGGCCCGGAAGGCCGTGGAAATGTCTTTGTTGCTCGGCCTGTGTTTCTTTCAACCAACTGGCGCGTCGCAACTGCCTGGACCCCAAATATGAAATTGACAGTCGAGGGCCTCTTACAAAAAGCCAGGCCCGCCTTCACTTAGGGCGGGCACCTCCGCCTTCACTTAGGGCGGGTAATGCTGCAAACAGGGCCTCATAGGCCTACCGAGGACCCTGATCCTCGCATTCCCTCCTCATAAACTTTGTGAGTCCTCTGAGAAGTCTCTTATTTTGCAGGCATCTTCCCCTTGAGTGCTCCTTCATAGCCTGCGATTACTTGAGGTGCGGTTCTCATGAGTTCTTCTCGTGTGTACCACCGGTCTTCTTTAGGATCCAGATGATGTCTGAAGCTCACACGATACTGCATTCTCGGTTTAGGAGGTCGTCCTCTGCCTGATGGTAGAGGAGCAGACATCACTCGATGCTCGATGATCTGGTCAATGTCCACTTCGCCATCCATGGTTGGAGGCAGCATTGATCTTCTGGAAGGGAACTGATCAGTGGCAGCGAAAGGTGCCAGCTTGGAGGCATGAAACACTAGGTAGGTGCGTAGGTGTGCAGGAATACGGATCACGTATGAAGGCCCATCCGGTTGATCCCCTACAATGTCCAAGATCTCCCAGGGCCCAAAATACTGCGGCATCAGTTTTCTAGATATCCCCATCTCCTGACGTAGTTCAGATGACTTTACCCAGACTCTATCACCTACCTGAAAGTTATATTGGACATCAAAGTCTATGCTGCCAGGTGCTGCAGTGGATTGTCTTTCTGGTAGCAGAAAGTCAAGGGCGGTACTGGGCTTCCAACCAAGATATAACTGGTTGGGAGTCATACCGGTAGTACTGTGCACAGCGTTGTTGTACAAGCTGGCGACGAGCGGTAACTTCTCGTCCCAGTCATCCTGACTTGGCTTAATGTAATGCCGAAGCAGGTGTTGTACTACCCAGTTCATTTGTTATGCCTGGCCATTTTACTCAGGGTGATTCCCTAAGGTCATTTGGAGTTTGGTGCCCATCTGTTCAGCTGTTGACTCCCACAGTTCACTCGTGAATCTCACATCCCTATCACTAACGATGGACGTAGGCAACCCAAAATCACGTACCCAATTATCCATAAACAGTTTGATGACGTAGTCAGTTTTGGTTGTTTCCGGCATGGCGATCAGTCTGGCGTACTTGGTAAAACGGTCCACTATGACAAAGATGTGTCTCTTTCCTGACCTGCTGGTCACAAGGGTATCCATGAAATCCATGGACACACTTTGGCTTGGTCCTTCAGGGATCGGCAAGGGTTTGATCAACCCCAGCGGAGCCTGAGTCCTTGGTTTGTCCCTTTGACAAACCTGGCAGGTTTCAAAATAACGTTTTGCATCTTCCAACATAGAAGGCCACCAAAATCTCTGCACTAAGTTCGCTGAGGTCTTTCTATAGCCAAAATGACCAGTTGCATCATGACGTTCTCCTAAAAATAAACTAAGCAAAGATTCACTATTAGCTACACATAGTCTTTTATTCCCTGCCTTCTCAAAGAACAGCAAGCCATCCACCATCGTAAATTCATCCAAAATCTTTTTGCCCTTTGCTTGGAATCTACAGATGATTTCTGACATAACTGGGTTTCCCTGATAGGCTTCCACCAGCGATCGAGTGAGTTCGTCAGATATGCCAAACTCAGTAACTAGCGCGCCCAGATAATCTGCCTTTCTTGATAGCGCATCAACCACTTTGTTGTACGTACCCTTGATAGGTCAAGCTCTATCACTTGAATCCATCTCTTGAGTGCGTCTGACAACACAGGCTGTGTCTTAATCCAGCGCAAAGTCTCATGGTCAGACCTCACATAGAAGAATCTTCCTAGGAGGTAATGTCTCCAATGGACTAGCGCTCTGTATAGTGCGTAGAGCTCTCTCTCATACGTGGACTTAGCTAACTTTTGAGATGGCATCTTCTTGCTCATATACTCRATCGGTCTMAACTTGGGCCCTTCCTGTTRCRCAAGGACCGCGCCTATGCCATATTGGCTAGCGTCTGTGGTCACAATGAATGGCTTGTCAGGATCAGGAAGTTTGAGAACTTCATAGTGTGTCAGTGCATACTTCAATTTCTTGAAGCTTGGTTCACACTCTTCAGTCCACTCCCAAGGGGTGTCAAGTCGAGTTAGATCTGTTAATGGGGAAGCTATAATACTATAGTTCTTCACAAACGGACGATAATAGCCCATCATCCCCAGAAAAGATCTGACCTCAATAACAGTCTGAGGCCTGGGCCAATCACGTATGCTGGCCACCTTCGCATCTTCCGACCTCAATCCATCTGCTGAAATTTCATGACCCAAGTACAAGATCTTGGTGCGACCAAACTCGCATTTATCCAAGTTTACCTTGTCCTGGTGTTGTCTTAGGAGACTTAGCACCGTTTTCAAGTGCTCTGCGTGCTCCTCTACAGTCCTACTAAAGATGAGAATATCGTCGAGGTACACGACGATAAACTTGTCCAAGTAGTCATGAAAAATCCTGTTCATCGAGTGCTGGAATGTACCAGGCGCATTGCATAGGCCAAAAGGCATCACCACAAACTCGTACAAACCGTACCTGGTCTTAAATGCGGTTTTGTGTTGGTCCTCCGGCCTAACGGCAATTTGATGGTATCCGGACTTCAAATCTATCTTTGTGAAGTACCGACATCCCTGCACTCTATCCAAGAGGTCGTCAATGCGGGGTAGGGGCTCCGTGTTCTTAATGGTGATGGCATTGAGGCCCCTATAGTCAATGCACATCCTTGACGGACCTCCCTTCCTTGGGACAAATAAGACTGGCGCACCGTAAGGGGAGGTACTAGGCCGTATCCATCCCTTCTCTGTCAGCTCCTTAAGCTGGCGGCGAAGCTCATCTAACTCCGCAGGAGACATCCTATAGATTCGTCCTCTAAGCACCTTGCTACCTGGGACAACCTCTATTGCATGGACAACCTCCCTTTCTACCACGCCTGTGGGCTCCTCAAAAAGGTCTGAATATTGTGTGACGACTCTTTCTATCTCTGGGGGTGTTTTAACGGCCTCCCCTTTCTCAGAGACAAAGCCTAGATACATGCCCTCATCTCGATTCTGCTTATAATAGTTATAGAAGGATGAAGCGCACATACACCCGTAGTTTTCTATTAGACTGCTAGCTTTATACTTCTGCAATCTCACAGTTCTACCATTGGGCAATTTGTGGATCAACACCTTTCTATCCCAGTCAAACTGAGGTTGCGAGACTTCGAGGTAGTACATGCCTAGTAGCATATCGAATGGCAGTTCGTCGCTTACCAGGAAGGAGATCTTGTGGATCACTTCCCCTCCTCCATAGGAGAAGGTGCAGGCTACGTCCTTGGCATAGTCTTTGACAACTATTTGGTGCTTGTTGGCTAGCGTAGAAGCTACAGTTCTGCTAAGCCTAAGCGCAGTCTATCCACACAAGCACGACTGATGAAATTTTGTGTAGAGCCTATGTCTGCGAAGGCGCCAACCTTGCGGCCACCTACATCGACTTCTACCACGAAATGTTCACCCTTTGGACCTCTACTGGTCATCGTCCAAGAGTCCCTGGGGTCCTTCCTTGACCACTCAGTCTCTAACTCTTCTAGGGCCTCAGACACATCTCTCGAACAGAGCGTCGGTGGGTCTGAATGTGTCTGCGGGGCGATGCATGGGTCACTAGCCTTGGCCAACGCCTGAAGTGGGGAAGGCAACGTTACCACTTCAGCACGAGCGACTAACACTCCTACCCGCCCGAGGTGTTTCCCTGTGAGCTGCTCGCAGGAGCACTCCCAGGATTTGAAGATAAGCCCACCACCGTTGGTGAGGCTACCTTCGTGGTGACCTTCTTGTCGCGGCAAGTCCTGGACGTGCGGCCATAGTTGCCACAGTTCATGCATGTGCCCCTGGCAACTCGGTCCCTCCACACCTCGTAATCCAAACCAAGCTTTACCCATGCGGGTGTCCCTTGGTCTCCCTGACCCGTGGACCGTCCTACCTTTTTCTTCCCAGTCCCCCTAGCCTTTTCTTTGATGGGTGCCACGACTGCACCATTTGAAGTCTCACTAGCCCCATCCTGCTTTGTCAACCCCCCAAGGTCTGGGAAATTGTCAATCTCAGTCGTTTGACCATCGTGGTCAATGAACATTAATTGACCCTTCTTCTTCCAATCTTGGGGTAGTCTCTTCCTACCATCATGAGATGCCTTATGAGCAGATCCCAGCTTTGCCTCTATATCCAGAGCTTTCTTACTAAAAGAAGCGAAGGTGTGTTGTTCGACATAGGCTTCATCAACCAACTTGGTCCTTACCTCTGTAGGTAGGCACCTTAGGTAATCCGTTAGGAAAACCTGCTGGTCAAAGTGCACACCAGGTACCACGAGTAGTCGCTCTACGGTATCCGTGAGCTCTCTAACATCCTTGAACCTACGGGCACAAAGATTGTTGATAGCATCGGTGGCCTTTTGAGCCCCTTGCGGGTCATGCCACCTGTTATACATGGACCGTACGAACTCTTCCAATGTCTGGGCCTGTGCCCAGGCATCGAAGTTTTGACCGTAGCCCTGCTGCTGCACTAAGCCATTCAACCAGCGGGCTGCTGACCCCTCTAAAAAGGAGGCAACCACAACAACTTTTTGCTTTGGCCTCGTGAGTTTGTGCCTCACATAAGTAGGCACAGTCCTCACCCAGGTGTCTAAGTCCTCTTCCTTCTTCCTATCACCAGAGAAGGGTTTGGGACACATCAAAGGTATCTTCGGCATCCACTGCATAGGCTGCATGGGCCCAGGGGCTTGCTGCGGCGGTTGCATAGCCACTGAAACAGGCTGTTGCACACTAACCTCGGCCTGGCTTGACAGTGGGACTGTAGTGACCACTGTTGTAGATGGTACGGTTGAGACTCTATGAACTGGACCACTAGTTGCTGCTAAACCACCTGGAGGGGGCATGCCAAACATATGAGAGAAAGTTTGCCCTGTGTGTTGCGGCATCGATGAAGGACCCGCACCCGCATGGGGAACTACAACAAACTGCGGCTGCCTCACTGCTGTGCGAGGAGCACGAAGTTCAGCCAGGATTTGTTTCTAGCCTGCCACCAGTTCGGCCAGCGATTCTTGTTGGACATTTTGTGCTTCTGCCACTGAGACTAGAGCATTACGCAGCACACGGCCAGCAGGGTCTAATGCCGCCTCATCTAGTCCTTCCAGCCTGCCTAGCTCCTGCATTCTACTCCCTAGCCTAGCCTTCCTAAGTATGGCTTTTCTTCTCCTCTCTGCTGCTTCGCCCAGCTGCTGCTGTAGCTCATCTTGAAGTTCTTCTGCTTGACGGAGTTCTAAATCCTCCGCCGTGAGTTGAGTTTGCTGGCTGACTCGCAAGCTAGCAATCTGACTAGTGGTCCCCTGAGAACCACTCTGACTGACTCCTGATGAAGTGGGACTGTGTAGAGACTTGCGACATAGATGAGGTAGCCATGGTTGCACTGTTACTAGCTGAGACTATAGTCTTGGCACTATCCACAGCTGCCCTCGCTCTTCTTGCCGCTGCCCTCTCTCTAGCCTCTCTCCGCAATCTTCTCTCGTCTTCTGGACCTAACTCCAAGAATGTCAAGGGTCGACTACGGGCAGTCCCGCGAGTAGTGCTACGGTCATCCACTAGCAACTCCTCCTCACTAGTGCTTGCATCACTCACGAGCTGCAGCGTGTGTGATCTAAACTAGAATCCACATTGAATCCTACCTTAGCCGGACACACAACCGATTATGAATTACGACTAATTTCGGTTGGCTGGAACAAAAACAGTTAGGTGATATATTAACAACTAATGTCAGGTCCTACAAGATATATTAAATCTATTTTTAGATTACCCTAGAACAGATTGCAATACAGCAAAGATCTAGTCTGTCTATAGTTGTCTGTCAGTTGTTAGTCAAGTCTATAATAACAAGATATCAAAAATAAAAATAACATCTCCTGTTGGAGATGTATGCTTGATGGCAGATTGTATGTTGATTGCCACTGCGAACAGTTACCGGAATCCCCCCTCCCCCTGTATCCTTCTTGAGTGGTCACTTTGTGTCGACGCCCTGAGCATCTGGTTGAGCAACGTGTCTGAAGGTGTGCAAATCCGGCCCACCCCTGTGCCCCAAGTCAACGCCGAACATGCCAGCCCCTGCACTCTTATTTACCCTCGCATGCAACGAGCCTTACACCCGGTTTATCTGGCTGATCAGGAGGAATAGCCCCCATCTCCTCAGGAATTATTTAACGTCGCAGACAGGGCGACGATCACAGCCAGATTCAAATCCGAGTCCCCAGCCAGAAATGTTTAAAGACGGTCTGGAAAGTGTCTGTCCAAAAGGGCTGGCATGCCCTGCATGACCTCTATTGCGCAAGCAGTAGAGCCAAGGACTTGCGGCAAAGCATGCGTGTACTAGTCCCAGCGGGTTGGCATGGTGACCGTGACCCGAGTGCTTCGTCCAGGGCCCTTCAGAGGCTTTGCCCGTCTCCCACCAGCTTGCTGCCCAGGAAGAATGTCGACTCTCAAGGTTGAGCGCTCGCGACACCTCACATCGAGAGGACTCTCAAGACAGAACTCACTTCCTCACGGTAAGAAGTAACGAAGAGGGTAGATAAGGAAGAGAGCAACGTACCTCATAAATGCTGCCCCCAACCACAGATTTCTCACCAGCAACATGATGTGCAATTATGATGACCGGTCTTTGCTTCAGCACAACCAACAGCAGAATGTGGTTCCACCTCAGCTTAATATGCCACATCAGCGAGCTCTCATCATCCAGCATACATCCCGTATGTCACCACATAGCTCCCTGGCACGCCCACTCTACCCTGGGCCGTCCAATGTTCAACGCCAATGCCTTATCACTGCCCGACACCTCATGCGAAGCACCAATAGCTATTGAGAAGAACCAATGAAGCGCAATATGAACCAGCTCCGATACCAAATTGCAAGGAAAATAAGCAACAGCGAGATGACAATTCCAGTTCACACCATCACATTGAAAGCCAGATAGTCACACCGTGTCCAGAGAGCAGCATTGCACCAATAA